CACTCTTAAATCCTACTACTTATTCCTGCGTCTTTTGTGATCTTACAAAGCTTCAAACGACGCGTCGACTAGATAGATAGATAGATAGATAGATATAATTTTATTTCGAACATGCAAATATAACTGAAATAACAACAGAAAAAACAAAAACAAAACTTAAAAATCATCAAGTTTTCATGTATATATCTTTGTCTACAGAATGCGTGTGCTTGAAAAGGAGTAGGACTATTAAATCAGTCGTCGACGATTTTGATAGTCGACGTAATCGTGACTAGTCGACTAATCGTGGCAGCCCTAATTAATAGTACAATGTACAAAATATTTCTGCAGAAGTTGATTTAGCCTCTAAGGTGGAAGCTTGTTTCTGTGAGTCATGTTGTGTAAAATACTGCGACTGGCTAAAGTAAAGTTGATGAATCATTGAAAATAAACACAAATCAACACATCCATTACTGCCAGAGACTTTTTTAAAAATACAATACTTCTTCTTATGCTACAGAACTGCAGTTGTGGTTACTTTTTTAGTGCTGTCTCCATGTTCAGTCTCATGTAAGCTCCTTTTTCACTTTCCAGTCAGTCCTGCCTATCCTCCGATGCCTTATGGCCAGGCTGCGTTCATGCCCCAGCAGCCAGCATACCCCCAGCCACCGTACCCCCAGCCGAAGCCCAGCGCTCCACCTGCAACTCCAGACTTTCTTGCTCAGCCTGCATATAATCCAGATTTTGCTTCATCACCACACTAGGCTGGATCATGGACATCAGTACAGCCCCAGCAAGTGCTTTGAGACTTTTTCCCTGTACTCACATGTAAGTCACGTTACATGGGAACAAAGTGCAATATTTATCATTTCAGGAATACATATATATTAGTTTAGCCTTAATGTTGCTTTCACTGATATATGGCAGTGACCTGTGTCATGTAACTTCATGCTCATATCAAGCTTGGTGGTCTCGCCTCTTTTAAACTTGGATAGTGTTACTGAGTCCGTGTTATGATTTCCTCTACAGAACTGTGCTAAGTGATAACAGATATTGATTTTTTTTCCTTTGTGCTTTTGTGTAAAGCAATTTTACCGGCTTATCTCACTATTTAAATTCTATTATGGAAAATGCAGTGCCTTTAGACAACTATTGTGATTTCCTGCATTAGAAATATGACTTTGTTTGATCTCTGTCTTTTCCCGAGTGCTCCGCTTCCTGTTCTAAAACACTCTCTAGATCTTTTAGCGATGTTCCAGTAATGATTCAGTTTTACATAAAGTCCCAGCTTTGTTAAAAACAGGACTGAGCCAAAATGCACTGCGAGGTTTACCAAAGGAGTCTTTTATGTTCAGTGAACCAAACATCAACTCGATGAGC